ACGCTGACGCAGAGGAAGAAAGAGCTGTATAAGCATGAACTTTCGACGGTCCGCGCGGACCTCCGACAGTTTGTGCTGCTGTCGTTCTTTGTTCTTCGAGATAGGGAAGACACATGCAAACGCGGTTGACGCCCGCATTCCGAGAAGCCGGAAGGTGGGCATGAGAGGGACGACGAGCTGCCCGCCCAGGACCTGAACACGAGCGTGGCCACAGACAGGAGTTGCCACACCTCGTCGACAGTGATGCGAAGGGGCCCCAGGACACACAAACAAATACACACAAATAGAAGGATTAACCATATGTTCCCCTATGTTCTGGGACTTCGCCTTCCACCCCACTCCCCATATTTTCCCTTTTTGGGGGGGGCATCGACGATTCATTCCCAACCTCCCCGCGTTGGGTTCTCGTTTTGAATAGAGCATTGCTCGCGCGTCTCCTTCCCACCCCCTCCCCGACCTTCTCTTCCTCCTTGCCTTTCGCCTCGCTCGTCGCTGCGTGCCAGCTGGAGGGCTGCGATCTGTGAAACGATCTGCGACTCTGTCGCCATTTTCGACGGCTGCTGGGGGGCCCAGCGCAGTGGGCACCCGCGGCGGATTCAAATGGGACCTCGCCATCCCTGGGGGGCTGCGATCTTTGAATGTGCCGCCACTTTCGAGGCCTGCTGGGGGGCCCAGCACAGTGGGCACCCGCGGCGGATTGAAATGGGCTCGCCATCCCTGGGGGGCTGCGATCTGTGAAGCTGTCGCCACTTTCGAGGCTTGCTGGGGGGCCCAGCGCAGTGGGCACCCGCGGCGGATTCAAAAGGGACCTCGCCATCCCTGGGGGGCTGCAATTTGTGAAACTGTCGCCACTTTCGAGGCCTGCTGGGGGGGCCAGCACAGTGGGCACCCGCGGCGGATTCAAATGGGACCTCGCCATCCCTGGGGGGGTGCGATCTGTGAAACTGTCGCCCATTTCGAGGCCTGCTGGGGGGGCCCAGCACAGTGGGTACCCACGGCAGACTCACATGGGACCTCGCCATCCCTGGAGGGCTGCGACTTGTGAAACTGTCACCACTTTCGAGGCCTGCTGGGGGGCCCAGCACAGTGGGTACTCACGGCGGATTCAAGTTAGACCTCGCCATCCCTGGGGGGCTGCGATATGTGAAACTGTCGCCACTTTCTTACCTCGCTCGTCGCTGCGTTTCGAGGGCTGCTGGGGGCTGCGATCTGTGAAACTGTCGCCACTTTCGAGGGCTCCTGAGGGGCCCAGCACAGTGGGCACTCACCGCAGACTCAAATTGGACCTCGTCATCCCTGGGGGGTTGCGATCTGTGAAACTGTCGCCACTTTCGAGGGCTGCTAAGGGGCCCAGCACAGTGGGTACTCACCGCAGACGCAAACGGGACCTCGCCATCCCTGGGGGGCTGCGATCTGTGAAGCTGTCGCCAGTTTCGAGGGCTGCTGAGGGGCCCAGCACAGTGGGTACTCACCGCAGACTCAAATGGGACCTCGCCATCCCTGGGGGGCTGCGGTCTGTGAAACGGTCGCCCTTTTTTTCGAGGGCTGCTGAGGGGCCCAGTACAGTGGGTACTCACCGCATACTCGCACTAGACCTCGCCATCCTTGGGGGGCTGCGATCTGTGAAACTGTCGCCACTTTCGAGGGCTCCTGAGGGGCCCAGCACAGTGAGCTTCCCGCACGTTTTTTTCTTGCTCTTCGTTCCCGACTCCACATGTCCTCTTCGAGCCTGTAGTTGTCGCCCCCCGTTCTTGTATGGTTCTCCTGCGCATCATGCCGTTGGCGCGTGTCCCAAGTAGCTTACATATCAAACAACGGATCCTGCAATTTGATTGTCCGTGCAAGTTTCGGCCAACCCCTCGTTTCCCATGATACAAATGGGTTGGGTACGTCACAGGGTAATTGTGTCTGTGTGTTTTTGCCCCCCCCCCGAACAGTTATGGGGAGGATGGAAGCAGACGACGGGAACAGAAGGTGACCACCTACCAAACCACCCCAACCCAACCCGAAGACCCGAATTTGACCGAATTTCGGGTTGGGGGGGGTACGGGTTCAACGTGTTTTTTCGATGTTCCCCGACCCCCCCCCCTGGAAATCGAGGGTAAGTTTGGGCCGTCGGTTTGGGTTGGGGTGGTTTTGTGGGTGGTGCGATGGGGCGGGCGGAGGGAGACGACGGGAGCAGAAGGTCGCCAGCGGCTCGAGAAGGCAGCGCGCCGCGGCGCGGCGGGGCGGCGCGCCCGAGCGCCCAGCGCCCGCCACGGGCCGATCCGCGCCCGGTTCAGCTGGCGGAGCAGCCGGCAGGTGGCGTCGGCGCAGCTGGCGCGCGCGCGCGCGCCGGGCTGGGCCCTGCGCTTCCTGCGCTGGCTCGCTTCGGGTCGGGCGAAGGTGGGGATAGCAGAGGGAGGGGTTGAGAATCAGCTCGCGCAACTGATTTTCCCGGCGCCTCCGGGCGCCGGAGGCGACTGTGTGTCGAGTAATGGACTCCTCGGTGAGGCCGAAACCAGCTGCATGCAGCAAATTTCGTAACCCCCCCTTTCCCACCCACCCCCTTTCGCTGGCTCGCTCCGCTCCCGCTTCGGGTGCTGGTCGAAGCGCCCCCCCGGCCCACGGTGTCCCCAGGACTTCCAACGAGGCCACCATGGCCTCCAGAGCACCCCTCTCGGTTCCCAGAGGGCCCCAGGTGAGCGCTCCAAGATAGAGGGAAAAGCTGTGAGCACCTTGGGCCAAGGGCAACTTTAGCACTCTTGGGCAGCATTTTAAAGGCCTCTTGGGGCGTCTTGGGGGCCTCTGGGGCAATTTAAAACTCATTGTGCGTCGCCAAAGACCCCTGGACGGCGTCTTTGGGGTGTCTCGAGACCGTCCGGGGCCGCCGAGATTGCCGTCTGAGGGCTCCCCCGGGCCACGGGCCCCACATTTGTGGTCGAGGCTCCGGTCCCTGGCCCCCGGACCCGGTCCCCCGTTATATGTATATTATGCATATTAACGAGTACGATTGATAATACTCAGAATAATCCGAATATCTGTTCAATGACTGTCGAGAGAAACTCTCTAAACAATATGGAAGACCAGAAAGAAAAAATCAAACGGGGCGCCATACCGCAGACCATGCGGCAAACCATGCGTGAAACCATGTGGGAGAACATGCGGGACACTATATGAGAGACCGTACGGACGACCACGGGCCACGAGCCACCGACTCCAGATCTGGAGTCGCCCACCATGGGCCTGAGAAACAGCATGTTGTACCCTTGACAAGCTGTTGATGGAATTTCTGCAGCTTTTGCGGGTCACTCAACCACGGCATAGAACACACGAGAAAAGGTGGTGCAAAACACCCGCCGAACGGCGACTGGGCGGGCCGCGCTTCGTCCGCCTGCCTCTGCCGATCTCCGCCCGACTGCTGCCGCAGCCTTCCCTTCGGCTTCAAGACGGTCCAACGAGGGCCCAAAGAGACAGACCACGATGGCCCATACATGGCCCAAGATTGCCCAACGGGCCCAAGACGGCCCCAAGATAGCCCAAGAGCGTTCAAAAGCTCCGAGCTGTTCCAGGAAAGTTCAAATTCTGCTGGAAGAGTACAAAGGAGCGCTCCAAGAGATCAGAAATCTCCAAGGCGGCCGCAGACGTCCCAAGAAGGCACCAAGAGGACACCTAGACTGTCGGCTGTGGCTATAAATGGATCCAAGAGGGCCTCTCCCGAGGGGCAAGCCATGAGTTCTCCGAGACGGTCCAGAACGGACCGAAGTGGAAACAAGGGGCCACCAAGATGGACAAGCGTCCCCCAACGACGGCCCCACCACCTCACGATTGAAGAATGAGAGAGAGGACGCGGACAACGACAGCGACGACCACGACGAGCAGGAGAAGGTAGGAAGAGGGAGGACCAGGTAGAGGCAGGAGGAGGACGACGACGGCGAGCTCACCCCTGCCTTCGTCGATCGTCCCCCTCCCTGGGTCCCTCCGAGCATGCTGCTGCTTTCTCTCGCCTCGCAGGCCGCCTGGGATTGTTTGCCTCGACCCCATTCCTTCACCCCTGCTTGGATCCCCATCGAGGGTACTGTGTCTCATTCAACAGAGACATGCTGCTGCCAGCGTCGCCAACCCGTACATGCCCTCGTGCTGGCCTTCGCGCGTACATGGTTCGCTGGCCCATCTTGGATTCAATGAGGCCCTGTGGGGCCTCCCCCGGCTCAGAGAGGAGCCGTGGACATGGGACTCGCTGACTCTTGCTGTCCTCTCGGGGCCCCCCACGGCTTCAAGACTCGAAGGCCGGCCTGGGCCGGCCTGGGCCTCTGGCGCCTCTGGGGGTCCTGCTGCACCAGCAGCCGCCCCTGAATGGCCACGGCTCAGGGTGGAGATCTCCCTGCTGGGGGCCACGGCTGGCCCCGCTCCCTGCCGAGGCCGGCCGTGGACTCAAGCCGTCTGCCTTCACGGCGTTGACCACCGCCTCCGTCGAGCAGGTCGCGCCCTGCCGCTCTCGGCGAGGGGCGGGCTCGTGTGGCTCGCCCCCGTTTGCTCGACCCCGCTCCGGCAGGCGCTCCTCGTACAGCGAGGGTCTTGACCTAAGGAACCCAAAATAAGGAACGAGGCCCCTTTTTCCATAAGTTGAATTTCGATTTCCCATACAGAAACCGAAGGGAAACCCGAGGCAAACTGTAAAACAATCAAGGAACACCGAGCCCCTCCCACACGAAAAGAGTTCCTTCTTCAAGGCCCCGACTGTTTGTGATGTGATAGTTTGTTGTTCAGCAGGCAGCACCTTTTGAGGATGTGCCTCTCCCCATCTGGGCCGCTCGCAAGCGCCCCGATGCTGGTCAGAAGGACAGAGGATGGACCCCTTATGAGAGGTCGAAGGACCGATTGTGACCGGATTTCGGACGGGCGGGAGGGTCGCCGCTGTCTCAGCTGGCACTGCTCCGGAGAGAACGATGCGCATCGAACGAACGCCGTGCAAGTGCATCACGCATGACAAAACACACAGGAACAACCTCGCTCACGCTGCGCTTTTCACAGGACCAGCCCCCAAGGATAACGCACAGAACGCATTCGCAGAAGCGTGGGCGTGGGCCTTCTTAGAATAGAGTGCAGAAGAACCACTCTCTTGTAAACACCCCAACAAGCGACAGAACGCAAAAAACGAGCCTTCGGATAGAATGGGAGAGGGCATGACAGTTCCGAAAAGCCACGGACCGTTTATCAAAAGCTGATCGTGAGGGGCCAGGGGGTTCTCTCCCTTGACATGAGGCCGTCCCCTCGCCCTGCTCTGTCCCAGAGACTTCGGGAGGCGCTGGCGCCGGCGCGGATGGCGGGGCTGCCCACCACAACGTGCTGCCGTCGAGGAGGAGGGCGAGGACGAAGTAAGGGCCTCGGCCGGGCACTCCCGCCGCTGCCAACGTCGTCGCCTTTGCTGCATCTGCCACTGCTGCCTGCTGCCACTGGCCGCATGCTAGATGCTGGCTGCTACTGGCTGATGCTGACGTCGCAGCCACCACCCTGCTGACTTTGTTGGTTGTTGAAGCTGCTGCTGCTGCTGCTGCTGCTGCTGCTGCTGCGTATCCCCCTCCCCCTTCTCCTCCTCCTCCTCCTCCTCCTCCTCCTCCTCCTGCAGCCGCTCAGCCTGCTCTTTCTCCCGCAGATGCTGCTTGTTCCTCCCCCAACTGCTCCTGCTCCTCCTCCCTCCATCTCCATCCTTCTGTACTTCTGCTGCTGCTGGTCCTCTTCCTCATTTGTATCCTATTTCCTCCTCCTCCCCGTCCTCCTCCTCCTGCCTTTCGCAGATGCTCCTTATCCTAGCTTCGCCACATCTGTTCACCCTCTTCCACTTCAAACCCGCTCTACTAGTATCTCCACATCCTGCCTGCAATCATCATTATCATCATCACCATCACCATCACCATCATCATCACCATCTTCATTATCATCCTCATCCTCATCCTCATCATGATCATCAGGATCAGGATCATCATCATCATCATCATCATCATCATCATCATCATCATCATCATCATCATCATCATCGTCATCGTCATCGTCATCGTCATCGTCATCATCAACATCATCATAATCAGCATCATCATCATCGGAATCGTCATCCTCATCATCATCAGCAATAGCATAACCATCAACATCATCGTCATCATCATCAGCATCATCACCATCATCATCATCATCATCATCATCGTCCTCATCATCATCCTCATCCTCCTCAACTCCTTCACCTTTTCCATAACTCCTCCCTGTCGCACCCCGAGGCCAGCTGTTAGGGCGGGACGGGCGTTTCGCCTGAGAGTTCCTCACCAGTTATGACTCTGAAGCTTAAGAAGTGACCACAGCTTCACAAATGGAGGGCGGGTGGTTTTCAATATGGCTCCCGCCTTAGCGCCGCGCACATTCGCTATAAGCATTTGCAAGGGTTTATCGGATTGAAGGCGGGTGGTTTTCAACATGTGGCCACCTTATCGCCCCGCACATTCTTTAAACCAAATTGCAAGAGCTTCACGGATTGAAGGCGGGCCGTTTTCAAACTGTGGCTCTCGAATTAGCGCCGCGCACCTACTTTTAAATCAATTGCAAGCACTTCGCGGGTTAAGGGCAGTTCCATGTGGCTCTCGCCTCAGCGCCGCGGACTTTCGTTTTTAACATCTGCAAGAGTTTCACGGATTGGGGGCAGTTCCTTTTTTCAAAAGGTGGTTCTCCTTTTAGCGCCGCGCACATTCGTCCTAAAACTTCGCCGGAATTTCACGGATTCCCATGATCCCGTTCAGAGAAATGGCATTTTGGAAGGATTCAAGATTATGCGGGCGCAGCAGTTATGTTGATCCGTGGTGGTGAAGTCCCTAAAGATGGCGCTTGCCCCCGTCACCAACGGACTGCCGGGGAGGGGGGGCGAAGGGAGACCGACGGGGTGGTCATTACTACGGATGGCGTTGCGATCGCCACGAGCAGTAGAGAACGTCGTGCACGGGGCCCCAGCGAGGAACCCAACAGTCTTAGGTTCCTCGCTGGGGCCACGTGCAAGACACCTGTCATTCTTGATCATGCGCAGAAGCCGACGCGAAATACAAGGTCGAAGCAAATCGCCCTGCGGACCCTGCAATACATCAAGGGACAACGCAGAAAGAGAAAGCGTTTCCTGGGCTGTTCGAGAAATGCTCCGATCCCCAGAACACCTCGATACAACAAACTGGCCGGCGATAGCCCTTGGCGGGGGCAGGCGGAGCCTCTCACTTGGCCTGCGGCCAGCAGCGCGGGCAGCCTGGCCTCGGCGCGCAGGCAGTACTCCCTCGCCCGAGTAGCCATCTGTGTCCGGCGGCGCACGAGCGCGGGCTGCCTCCGCCCGCCGCGGCGCTGGGCCTCCAGCGGCAAGATCCGCCCCGTGAGCCTGTCGATCCAAACCCAGCTGTGCCGCGCCATGCACAGCGCGGGCTGCAGGGCCTAGAGTCCGGCGGAGGCCGCCACGCCGTCGAAAGTCCGCTTAGCGTCTGCTATTGTGGACGTCCAGAGCGCGTCGGTCGGCGCGCCCTGGCTCTGCTTCACGATGAGCGAGGCCATCTGGGGACGTCTTGCTCGATGAGCAAAGAGCGATGTGCGACGTTCACGGTCTCGCCCGTCTCGCCCGTCTTGCTCGGCCTCTTGAGGTAGTCAGGATCGACCTGTATCGTCACCTTGCGCGTCCTCGCTTGGGGCGGCAGCGCCTGGCCCTGCGTCGAGCGATGCGCTTCGCTGGGCCTGAGGCAGGTGTCCACTATCAGCAACCAGTGGAGGGCCATCTCCACCTTGCCAATGAGCTGCCGCCGCCGCCAAGGCCACGCCCGCGCAGGCCGCCCAGGGCAGCGGGCGGCGCGCCCGCGACGGCCGAAGCAGCCTCCAGCCCCGGAGCGCGCGGTGGGCTCGGGGCAGCGCTAGGCAGCCCATTCTCTGGTAGTCGGGCACGTGCATTGCGATCACGGCGATCAGCTGCTCGCCAGTCGCGGCGACCTTCCCCGCCAAGCACTGCTCGTCGAAGAACCTCATCGTGGCGGCGCCCAGCATTGGCCTAGCGTGGTGGGCGAAAGGAACTGCTCCAGCAGGTTGCGGCACTGCTGGCGGCTGCGCTCCCCCGCGGCGGCGGTCTCCGCGATGGGGGGCTGGCGGGCGGCGGCCCCCCGCGCCTCCTCTCCATCGCCCAGGCGGCGCCGCGCAGACCTCGGCAGCCCCCGCAAAAGGATCGAGCATGTGCCTGGTGGTGCGAAGCTCGGCAGTAGCGGCCGCTCCGCCAGATGCGTCAGCTGCGGGCCCGCGGCTCGGGCCAAGCGGGCCCGCGTGGCCCGCGGCCCAGGGGTCGCAACCCGCGCCGAGACTCGCACCAGCCGGGGGCCGCGCAGCCGTCCGCGGCGGTCGAGCTGGAGCCGCCCGCGCAGGCCGCGAAGGCAGCTGGGGGGCCGACCCCAAGGCGCCCGCGCCAGCTTCCGCGCGGTCGCCAGCGCCGCGGCGGGGCCGCAGCTGGCGGCCCTGCGCAGCAAGCGCTCGCCAGTCCGCGGCGCGCGCGCGTCGTCCGTCAGCACACTCGCGGGCGCGGCCTGCGCCATCGGCGCCGTTCAGCTCGCTGGGAACCCATCGCCTTTGGATCCAAGGGCCCGCGCACAGCGTGAGGGCGGCCCCCCAGCGAAGTATATCGAGCAAAAATATCACGGCAACGACCCTTCGAAAGTGCGAGTGCAAGCGCAATATTGCCCCCCGAGACCGCGCGCCTCTCCCCCTGGGAATCCGCGCCCGACAGAATCAGCTTCACGGCGTGCCAATATCCCCTTGCTTCTCGGCGCACAAGATCCTTCCTGAGCAGCTCGGCGCAACGCGGCAGTTTCCAGTCGGAGCGGCGGAGGGCGCACGCAGACGCTTCAGGTAAGCTTTTTATCAGACTCGCCCCATCGACGCTGCGAGCGGCGGCTCAGCGTCGAGCAAGGCGGCCTCGGCCGCGCGAGCCGCGCAGTCACGCGGCCGCAAGCTGCTCGCGAACGCGGCGAGACCGCCGCCTCTCGTGCAAGGGGCCCGTGATGACGATGGCCTCCGCGCCCCAGTCGGCGATCATCGAGGCGCGCCCCGCCTCGCGGGCGCGGGCCGCGACCGTCTCGGGTGACCAGGGGGCGCCCACCTGGATGCCCAGCGCGACGAAGATCCCGCAGGAAATCTTCAGCTCGCTCCGAACTGACGCACGCAGCGGCCGAGCACGCTGGGAACCCTGCTTAAAGATGGCTTAGACGGCGCTGAAGCAGCTCAGGCTCCCGCGGCGGCAGAGCGCAGCGAAGGTGCAATGGCCCAGCGCGCGCTCGATGTCGCGTCTAATCACCCTGGCGCGACGCAGCGCCAGGTGGCCACGGCCCAGGCGCAGCTTCCAGTAGCGGCGCGGCGCCAGCGCGGCCCCCGCAGGCCACCCCTCCAACTGCGCCCCCAGCATCGCCGCGGGGTCCACGGCGTCGACGCCGCCGTGCACGGAGAGCCCCGCGGCCTCCGCGGCCTGGGGGGCCAGCCGCCTGACGCGCGCCGCCGCCGTCCGATCCGCGCCGACGACGAGCGCGTTGTCGACGTAGAGGGAGCGGATCGGCTCTGCTCTGCCAGCGGCGCAGGCGGCGGCGAAGTCCACGGCCCACAGTTCGGGCCCGAGGGCGTCGCGGCCGCCCGCGCTCGCGGGCGCTCCGCGCGAAAATGAGCGCCCAACTCCAGCCCGCAGGCGCCGATGTCAGCAGCGGGCGCCAGCGGGCCCGGCGAGCCGCGCGGCCCCCTCCAGCCCGCCGACGCACCGCTCGCCCGCGGCGACGGCGGGCAGGCAGAACAGCCTGCCGCAGGTAGGCAGGCAGCTTGCGCCGGTAAAAAACGCCCTGGACGTCGACCCCCGCGAAGTTGAGCGGGGCCCCCTCGGGCGCCCCCATGGCCCGCGAAGCCCGCGGCAAAGATGAGGCTAACTGGCGGAGGAGGCTAAAATCGTTGATTGTTCCTCCTGAAGTCGAGCCCAATCCTGACGCGGCCGTCCATCCTGGCAACGAAGAACACCCCGGCGCCCCCCGCCCGACTTGCCAGCCGCGAAGACGCCCCCGGAGACCTCGGACTACGCGAATTCCATGTACATCGCGCGGTTCCTCTCCAGCACAGGGCCCAAGTACAACGTGGGCCCCCCGCCCTCCTCCGCGACGGCGTCGACCCTCGTCGGCGGCAGCAGCAAGGCGAGGTCGAGGCCTGGGAGAGAGCATGTGTCGCGGGCCCCGAGTCGGTCAGCACGCCGGCCAGGCTCGTTCCCAAGTTGGGGCCAACGCGCGAGGTGCGGCGCATATGGCCTCAGCGGCAAGTCGTCGGACGTGTCGCAGCGGAGACGCGAGCGGTCCAAAAGCTCCGATCAGGCACCCTGGGCCGACGCGTTCGCTGGGGCCGCCATCTGGCGGCGCAGGCGGCGGGCGCGCCGAAAAAGTCTCCCGCGTCGGAGAGGCGCCCCGACGCGGCGCAGCCCCCATGTGCGTCGAAGCACTCCACGGCGACCCGAGCTCGCCCCTCTATGGACTGGGCGCGGCGGGCGCGCCCCCGAACCGAGCGGGATAGTCCAGGCGAGGGGCGTGGAGAGACTGGCGCGGCAGGCGCAATAAAGGGCAGCGCACAGTCACCAGGAAGACCACCTGCGTCAGGTCGACAGAACTGGCTCCGACGAAACAGCGGACGGGCCGAGCTACCTCCCGTCCGCCGACTCCGGTTCACCCCTGCTCCTTCTTGCCGGCGGCGGCGCTCTTCTCATCGCGCGCCTTCCGCCGCTGCTTCTGGATCTCGGCCCCCTTGGCGAGCTGCTCCGTCGCGCGCTCGGCGCGCCCGGGCGCCGCGGCAATTCCGCGGCGCGCGCTCTGCTTCGAGCGTCCGGCGTAGTGATCGACCACCGTCGATCCCCGTGCTGCCCACGGTCTCCTCCACCTGCTGATGCGCGCGGGCGATCGCCTCCAGGCGCGCCGCGTTCGAGCCGTCGGCCTGATCGTAGGTCTGCGCGAGCTCGATCGACAGCCCCGGGAAATCGCGGGCGCGCGCGGCGGCGGAGTCCACGGCGCAGACGCCCTCGCTCATCCGCGTGGTTTGACGGCCGTCAGGGACGCCACCGTGCTCAAGGATGCACTCGCGCAACCACCTGTAGCTGCGCTCGCCCGACAAAAAAATCGTCGAGGGCATTATGGCGCATCTGGCCGACCGCATCTCGGAAGTCTCGATTGCGACGGCCGTCGCGTTTCCTCATCAAGTCCCAACAGGCGCGCGTCGTCTTCCTCGTCGGCGGCGGGATGGCCAGCGATTGGCGTCGGCACCAGCTCCATCGGCACGATGAAGCCACTCGGCGCTCTGTGTAGACCGCTCTCGCCCCAGATGACGTCGCCTGGAGCCAGTGAAAACTCGTCGCCCCGCTGGATCTTGTTCGGCACCGACTTGCTGGAGACCCGGGCGAGAGCAGGCGCCGGCGCCTCCACGCTCGCGCGCGCGCGGGGGCCCGCAGTGCATGGCACGGGCGTGGAGGTCCCCCTAGCGTCCAGCTGCCCCCCGTCCCTGGCGTCCTGGTCCAGGCCAAGCGGCGCGGCCGCCGGCGCCGGGATGGGCGCTGGGGCCGTCGGCGCTGGCCCGCAGGCGGGGCAGCGGGCCCCTTGCCGGCCAGGCGGCGGTCGAAGCCAGTCACCTCGCCAAAGCTGACCGTGGAGGCTCCGCCGAGGACCTCGACGTTCCGCGCGAAATATGGGGCTCCGACACGCTGAGGTCAGCCGCCCGTGCCTCGCGCCTCGCGGTGCGCGCCATGTCGAGCAGCTCGGCGTACGTCGGGTAGGCGCGGAAGCGCCCGTCCAGCGGGTCGCTGCCGAGCGGGAATGGCGCCGAAGGTCAGGGACGCCATGTCGGGCCCGTCCCCGTCGGCGCCGCTGACGATCTCCTCCTCGTGCGCGTCGCCGTCGGGTGTCGCAGTCGTCCAGCGCGTGGAAGACTGCTGGGCGTCCGCGGGCCAGATCAGGACCCGTTCTTGCCATGCGGCCTCGCAGCAGCTCGTTAAAGAACTCCGCCGCCACGGCGGGAAGCAGCGCCATGACGGAAGCGACAGGGGCTGATCACACTCACGATCTGCGCCAGGCTACCCGTCAGCACCAGCCCAATCGAGTGCACGGAAAATGAGACCGCGTCGGTGCGCTGCTGCGCCTAGTCCCTGCTGATCTCCTGCAGGTGCCACGCGAGCGCCGCCACCTCCGCGTGCAGCCGAAAGAGGTTCTCGAGGCAGTCTGCGAGGTTGCGAGCGTACCGCGCGGCCCTAACGGCCTCGCGGGAGGCCGCCTCGGCCGCGCAGGCCGCCGAAAAAGGCTCGCCTGGGGGGACGCCTCAGCCGCCGCCGCGCACCAGGCCAGGCCAGACGGCGTCCAGCGCGCACCAGGCGACGACCAACAGCCATGGAGGAATACGCGGTTGACTGGGGGGCATAAAAGACAGGTACTCCCTGAAGATAAAAAACGCTTGAGCGAAATAGAGCGGACTCTGTGCTGCACCCCTACGCGTTCACAGGACAATAATAATCATCAGCATCAGCATCAGCAGCATCATCATCAGCATCATCAGCATCACCACAACCATCACCAGCATTATCACCATCATCGTCTTCATCACCATTTTCATCTCCATTGTCAACGCCGTCGCCGTCGTCTACATCATCAGCATCATAAACACCATCATCATTAGCATTATCAGCATCGTCAGCATCGTCGGCGTCATCATCAGCAGCATCATAATTATAATAATCATTATCAGCATTATCATAGTCATTACCATCATAATCACTATCACGATCAACACCATCACCAGAATCAGCACCATCATCCTCGTCCTCGTCATCGTCATCTTCCTCATCATCATCACAATCATCATCATCACCATCACCATCGCCATCATCATCGCCACCACCATCTTCATCAGAATCACCATTAGCATCATCAACATCATCACCACAACCACCATTTCCATCATCAACATTATCATTAACATCAACATCATCGTCATCCCTCTCCGCCGTGCCACTTCTTTCCGACTGCAAAAACTGATCACCCTCCACCTGCGCCTCCTGGTCCTCCTCCATAACCTTCTTCCCGTACAACTCCTTCTGCCCTGCTCTTCCTCACCCTCCTCCCGCCCCCGCAGCCAGCCCCCACCCCACCCGCATCCCGACAGACCCGACGGCTCCGCCCGCAGTTACAACCTCCCCCTTCAGCATCCTCCCCCCCCTCTCCCTCGTCACCCCCCCTCACCTCGACGGCGGCCACTGCATCCCAACGCTTCGGGGAGCGGGCAGAAGAGCAGCGGAAGCGACGACGTCAGCAGCGGCGCGTTGACGGCGACAGCGACGGCGACCGCGGCGCCGGCGGGGCGCGAACGACGGCGCCGACGGCGGCAGCACCACGGAGCGCGGCGGGCCCACCGCGGCCTTCCGCGAGCTCCGCCAGGGTCGGCCGGCCGTCGCCTGCGGCGCCCCCCCGCGCCCCCCAGAGCGCCCCGCGGGCGCAGCGCCCGCTGGGGACCCCCCCTTAACCAGCCTCGAACGTATCCCTGTCCCTAAGATTGACACGCCAAAAGGCGAGGAGAATCTCAGGGGTTCGCCCTCGAAAAAATGAGGGAATCCCCAAGATTATTGGCATCGTGATGAGGAGGTGCCCAGCATAGGGGTAGGGAGATGTTCCAGGCTGGTAACCCCTGGAGGGACCGCGGCCAAAGCGACGAAGGTCGCGGCAGGGGCGAAGGAAAGAGCGACCACCGCGGCCGACAACGTCCCAGGCCAGCTTGGGCAGCCGGGCCGGGCGGAAGGGTGGGATAGCAAAGAGGGGGTTTGAGAACCAGCTCGCGTAGCTACTTTTCCCGGCGCCTCCCGGTGCAAGGAGGCGCCCATGTATCGAGGAACGGGCCCGGCGGCGGGGCCGAAACCAAGTGCATGCGGCAGATTTCGTAGCACCCCTTTCCCTATCCCCCCGTCTCGTTCGGCCCGAAACAGGGCAGGCGATGCCATGGCCTCTGGAATCTGCGCTGCGTGCCCGGAACGACTCACACCTACGACGGCTCGACTTCACTCGAACCGCTCGCCCCGGGATCCCTCGACCTCTCCACCGCGATGCCCAGAAGCGGCCCCCGAACGTCCAACATGGCGAGAGACCACTGACGCGTTGTTTCGCGTCTGCAGACCCAGGCATCCGACGTCGTACTTTCCCCGCGCGTGGCTCCCATGACGTCTGGCCCCATTCCCGGGGACCAACTTGTCTGCCGGAACCGGTGCTTGATAGCCCCAGGGCACATTGAGGGTCCAGGGGACGCAGAAACTTGTGCGAGAACCCTCCGTCGCGATTGCCTCACACCGCGAGGATGTCAAGGGAGGTCTGGGGCGCGCGATGCAAACGAGGTCGACGATGACGACGGCGGCGACCGCAGCCGCGACGGCGATGCGTCGCCGACGCCGACGCCGACGCCGACGGCGAACGGCTGCGACGTCAGGGGCGCGAGGACGCGGCGCGGCGGGCCCGCGGGGCCGACGAAGTCAGCGCCAGACTGCTACGTTGCCTCGCCCTAATCCGGAAACGCCAGGTTCTGTCCTCAGTGACTACCTACCAAGCCAGCCAAACCCAACCCGAAGACCCGAATTGCAGGTTTTGGGGGGGGGATGGTACGGGCTTCATGTGTGTTTCTTGAATGTTCCCCGACCCCCCCCCCCCACACCGGGAAAGGAGGGCAGATTGGGGCCTTCGGGTTGGCTTGGGGTGGTTTGACGGGTTGAGCGAACGTCCACTTGCCCGGGGCGCCCACTAGCACGCCGTCGCTCTTCGGCGTCTTCAGCTCGCAACCTCCTCCTCCTCCTCCTTCTCCTCCTCCTTCTTCTCCTCCTCCACCTCCTCCTTCTTCTCCTCCTCCTCCTGCTCCTCGTCCTCCTCCTCCTCCTCCTTCTTCTTCTCCTCCTCCTCATCTCGGAGGTGGGCCAATCGAGACAACGACGGCCCTTCCTGGCGATCGTCATCCTCTCTGCGCCTCCTGCAGGGTTCTGGTCGCCACGGCTGAATCCGCCCAGGATCACAAGTCAGGCGGGATGGACCACGGAAGGGGTCAGGCGCCAGTGTTTGTGAAGATGCCCCAGAACACACAAATAAACACACACAAATAAAAGACTCCCCATATTTTCCCATATTTTCTGGGTTTCCGTCTTCCCCCCCACTTCCCAGATTTTCATATATTTTCTGGGAATCGCCGATTAAGTGTGTCTGTGTGTTTTTTCCCCTCCTGAGTTTGAACAGGCTTGAGCCAGACGGAAGAAACGCGGTTCTCTCGACTGGCCCTCCTCCGAACACCCCACCTCTCCCCGCTGCCGCCTCGTCGTCGCCCCACGCCTTCGTCTTCACCGACGACGACAACGACGACGCCCGACAGCGACGACGACGACGACCACCCCCGCGGGGCCGCTATCCGCCACGACGGCGGCAGCCGCGCTCTGTCGTGGCTGCCGGAAGACCTGCGCGCGCCCGCACGGGCGCGGGCAGAGGGCACCCGCACTGCGGGCGGGCTCTCGCGGGCACCCGCGTGGCCGCCGCCGCCGCTGCTGCGGGGACCCAAGCTGGCGTGGGGACCCATGCTGGTGGGGGCCCAAACTGGCGTCTGCAAGCTGCAAGGGGTCAAGAGCGGTGGGGACCCAAACTGGCGATTGCCCCGGATTCCCAGGAGGCAATGGATATAAACATCTCTGGGCCTCGGAGGCAGGCGCACGCATCCTCTTCCTCCTCCACCTCCTTTTGTGCTGATCCTCCGACGATGAAGACGAGGTTCGGGGATCTGGTAATCAGGGTTTTCACTTTTGGCCTCCAAGGGCGCTCTCGTGGCCACGGGTAGATTCGCCTCCATCTTCTGGTTCGAACGCCATGCGGTCCGCTGGCGACCCTCAAGCAAGCGCGCCATCAATATTTCGTCATGTTCGGTGTCGAACAACCGAGTCTGGGCAACGCGGTCGTAACACAAGCAACCCGATATGATCCAACCGTCGCGGGGAAGGATTCATCAGCTCAGGAACTGACCGCTCGAAACTATGCCTGTTCCAACGAACGCACAAACGGGAGCGGTTGCAAACAATATCGATGTGCGCATAGCCTTTATGTGTAGATGTGGTTGCAAAGCGTGTTATGTGTATGAACGTTATATGTGAAATTCGCGTACAACCAAATGTGGTTCAAGGACACATTTGTGATGATCGGTTGTCCAGTTGCCCACGCGGGATAACAATGTGTGGTGCACGTGTGTATGTCGGGTATGAACGTCATGCGTGTGGCTTTGAAGATACTGACAACATGTTCGCGTCATGTACACATGGTACCCACTCCTGTTACGTGCTCAAAAATACGTGTCGCGGTTGTATGGCAAGTTGGTGTAAGTCTGGTTGATGTAGGATCGAGGTTTCATCACGCAACATAAAAAATATGTTGTGTGCGCGACTGTTTTGGTAGAATCGCCATATAAATTGTGATGTGTGTTGGCGTGTGCCGCGTAGGTTCGCAACGCTGCCTTGCATTAAAATGTGCATGCACCTGTGTCTGGGCAGCGTTGCACCAGACAACCATATGTGTTTATATATATATATATATACACACGTGTGTGTGTATGTCTGTATGTAAACATGTGTGTCTGAATAACCATGCGCGCGCTGCGCGCGCTCAGGTTCTAGCAGCATGTGGTTATATCCGACACTGCGCAACATCGGAAAAACTAGTGCGAACAAGACGCGCGCAATGAACAACACAACGTTCGAACACGAAACGAAAGTTGTCCCCCTTTTTGCCTCTACGTATGCAGCGCGATAAGCATCAATCGCCGCGTTTCCTGCAGTTTCCTGCCCACAAGGTCTCTTGTTCCCCCATCCACCCTTCGTTCCTCCTCCCATTGTGTTTTGTTTCCGTTCGCTCGATCCACCATCCCTCCCGCTTTGCCTCCGAAGCCCTGCCGTCGCTGCTGCTAATAGCAAATTCAGCCACTTGGTCTTGGGGCCGTCTCGAAGCCCTTTGGAAGAAACTTGTTAAGCGCCTGTCACGGTCGTGGGACTCTGTTTGGCGCGGGAACCCTTGGTCTCTGCAGCGCACGCGGCCCTGGAACGCTCTCTTCGGTCAATTGCCCCCCCAAAAAAAAACCTGTCCCCTCAAACCTGCGCGCGCATACGGCCTCCTCGTAAAACCGGAGAAATACGAATCGAACGAGCCATTTCGCGGCGAAGTGCCAAGGGTGGCATCATGTCTGCTCTTGCGCCGACGCGAATACGACGACGACGACGACGGCAAAAGCGACGAGGGCGACGACGACGACAACAATAACCAAAACAACGACAACGGCAACGACCACTTCCAGACAGACCCCATCGGGCTCGCCCTCTGCAGGGCGATCGAAGCGCGACGACGATCGCGAAAGATACGCAAGAGGACTCAGAAAAAGGGGCCGGCGGCGAAGGGGGGGGGAAGCCGGGGGGGGGGCGGGCGCGCAAGGAGGGGCGATGGAGGGCAGGGGGCTGGGCGAACGAGGTGGACAAGGGGCAGGGCGACGACGAACACGAGGAAGCGGAGCGCGATTTGGACACCGCGAAGCAAGAACGCAAAGAGGCGACGAGGAGGAGGAGGAGAAAGAGGGCGGGGGCGCCGACGAAGACGAGGAACAACTCGACGACCAAGACAGAGAACGCGAGGCCACCTGGAAAAGGGGAAAAGGAGGGGCGAACTGGACGCGAGATGAGGGAGGGGGGGGGGGTCGCGAAGCCCCCGTCGGCGCCCGCGGGCGGGGCCGCGCGTCCGCGGGGCCCCCTCCGAAAAAGCTTGCTGGTTTTCGCGCCCGGGCTTGGGCGCCGCAGGGGGAGCTCCCCAAGAGCTCCTCGGACGGCCTTGAGAGGCTCCTACACGTGGCCTCCGATGCCACCTCACAGGCTCCTCCGAGGCCCATGAGAGGCCCGTGGGAAGCTCGCAGAGCGGCGCTGGCGGTCGTCCGCGCGAGGCCCACTTCCTGACAGCGATCTCTGCGAGCTACTGAGATGATCTCGAGAAGCTCGTAAGAAGCTCCCAGGCAGCTTTTGCAGCGCTTCTGACAAGGCGGTTGAGGACGGCCTTGAGCGCGCTTCTGTCGCCGAATCCCACCTCCGAATCCTGCCCGCGGCGGCCGCGCGCCGAGTCTCGGCCGCTGACGCCCCGAATGGGGGCTCCGAATCGCGCCGAATACGGGCGCCGAATATTGCCCGCCGACGCCCCGAACGGTTCTCCGAACTCGTAGAAACAAGACAGAAGATCAGCCACCAAACTTTCGCTAAATACTCGGCGATGAGAAACTGCCATCTTTCGGGGCATCTTTCCGCGGCCTCTTCGGGCGGCATCTCAGGGCGGCGCATGCCTGGCGCGCGCGGGCGGCGCGGGCCCGGGGCCCCGCGGGCCCCGAGTCCAAGGCCCCAGACTGCAGGGCGCAGAACTCCCATGATTCTGGAGCCAGGGCCCGTGGTCTCCGCGGCGACCGAGGGCGCCCGATCTCCCCGGGCCCACCGCCGAGGGGCGCGCGACGCCTGGGCTCCGGAGGCAGGGGCGGAAGACAGCGGCGCCCTGCGGCGAAGGGGCGGGACTTCCCAGGCCCCGCAAGGAAGGGCCAACGACTCCTGGGCGCCGCAATCGACAATAGAGGGCCCCAAGGGCGTAGAGGCAGGGGCCCGCGGAATCCGAAGCGCGGCCTCCGGGGCCCCAGGCGCGATGGGGGCGCGTTATCTCTGGTCTTCAACGCGGACGCGGGCGCGACAACGACGACTTCGAGGCGCCGGGTCCGACTGCGCCGCCCCCGCGCCGAGAATGGCGCGCGCGGGGGCGGGGGGTCAGCGCGCGCAAGAGACGGAGAGAGTAAGTGCGCGAGAGGAACACTGGGCGCGAGAGAGCCCGATTGGACCAAGGAGCACGCTGTGACCGAAAGCCGCGCCATCGCTCGAAACGCTACGCGGCCGTCCAACGCAGCGCTGACTCCGCGGGCCTGCCGCGCCCTGATCATCGCGCGACCTTAGCCGGCGATCGATGCATTATCAACTCGCTTCGCCTCCCGCTGGCTTTTAAAGCTTCAGCGCGGCTGTCAATTTAATAGGGCCCGCGCGAGTCGGGGCCCGACCACGCGCTGCGGCGTCGCGAAGAGCGCCCCGCGACGCCGGCGGGCAAGCGCGCAGTTACGGCATCGAGCGCAGAACCCAGCAACCTAGAGCTAGACTAATTCACCGAAGTTTCGCCTGGGGCCCTGTTGCGCCCAACATCTTGGCCGGTCCGAAAGCCGAGCTGCGACGGCCGGCAGAGGCGGCGCCGTCTGCGGGCGGAGGCCGCCTGCAAATCGGCCCAGCAGCCCCCCGCGCACGCGCGCAACTGGCATGCCCAGTGAACCGCTGAAGACTTCCCGTCGTAAAACAATCGAACATCCGGCGGCCCCCTTGCGGGGCCACCAGGCTGCAGGCCGAAGGTTCGCAGTTTCCCGCGCCAGTTGCAGCTTCCAGTTTCCATTCTTACTGTTCTGCTTATTGCTGCTGACTGTTCCTCGTTGATGGACCGCGCGAGGGGGGGCCGAACGGGATTTTCATTGCGCCCTGAGCGCGTTGTCTGAATTGCTGGGGCGGCTAAAACTTGACGCCCCCCACGCAGATCGGCGGGGTCAGGGCCCCAAAAAAAAACATTGGATTTGCCGCGCGTCTGCAATCCAGTGGCACCCCTCACGCAGATCGGCGGGGCCATGGTCCAAAAACGCATAGGAGTTGCCACATTTCTGAAATTTGCTGGCACCCCTCGCGCAGATCGGCGGGGCCAGGGTCCAACGACGCATGGGATTTGCCACATTTCTGACATTCGGTGGCAATCCTCGTGCAGATCGGCGGGTTCAGGGCGCAGAAACACAACGAGGATTTGCCGCGCCTCTGAAAACTGCGGCACCACTCGCGCAAGTCGGCGGGGCCAGGGTCCAACAAAAATAATAAGGATTTGCGTCGTTCTTTGAGATTCGGCGGCGCCTCGCGCAGATCGGCAGGGTCAGGTGCGAAAAAAAGAACGGACAGGCCCCGGCGCTGCTTCGCGGCGGCGCCCAGAACTCATGATTTAGCTATTGCGCCTGCCATTGCCCGAGACCGGGGGCCGGCGGCGCGGCCCGAGACCGGGGGCCGGCGGGGGCCGGCGGCGCGGACTCATGATTTAGCTCTTGCGGATAATGGCGATCAGACTTTGGATGGCAGGGCGGGGGGGGGGGGCGCGCGAGCGACCGGGCCCTTCTCAGAACGCGGCGGGGCATCTCAGAAACCCTCCACGAGAGACCCCCTGTGGCTTTGGAGCACGCGTAGAAAGCTCCCAACAGGCTGGAGGCCTCCTGAACCTCCCGAGACTCGGGAGCGGCCCGAAGGGGGGCGTCCCAAGGGAGGGGGCGCAAATCATGGCCGGCGGCGCGCGCGCGGCCCAGGAGGGGGGGCCGCGAAGACTGCGCGCGGACGTCGCATGCGCACACCTTCGGCCCACGCAATGTTGGGCGGGCCGAGAGCAGAGCGGCGCGGGTTCGAAGGGGCCCGCGGGCCAGGCGCGAAGCGGAACGCGTCGCGCGCGGCGCTCGCCCGCAGACGGCGCAGGCCGCGGGGCGCCCGAGGCGGGCGCCCAGACAGAGGGCGCCAGGACAGGGGGGGTCATGGCGAGAAGAAGGATCATAAGGGGCGCCACTGGAGACAGTGGAGATGCGCGCGCGGGAGAAAACTGCAGATGCGGGGCAGGGGGGCGACGCGGCGGCCGAGACCTCTGGTCGCCGCGGCGGCGGCAAAACGAAGGCGGGGTGGCCCTGGATCGGGGGGCCAGGCATGATACATATGAATATATATATATATATATACACATAATTTATTGTATACAAGCATTAGAGGTGCGCGCGGATTTCTTGAATTGGCGCCGCCTGCCCCCCCCCCTGGCGCGCGGCGCGCGCCGGGGGCGCCGCCGGGGGGCGCCGTCGCCGACGCCCCCGTTCGCGCGCCGCGCGCCCAGCGGCCCGCGGTCGCGAGGCCATCGCGAGCGGCGGCGATGACAATTCTGGAAAGCAGGATGGGGGGCGCGCGCGAGCGACCAACTCCTGGGCTGCAATGAATGGAAATCGCCGCGGCGACAACGGGAGGGCGCCACCTGAACCTGTCCGCGCGGGCCGGGCCGGCCCGAAAGCACAACGGCGCCAGCCGACGCCGCCTGTAAGACGGCCCAGCAGCCCGACGCGCCCGCGGGCGGTGCGCCGAGTGGCGCGCTGGAAACTGCCAGTCGCAGAACAACCAAAAAAACAATTTTAAACAAAATCTCGCCGTTCGTGGGTCGACGAGCACCTCCCCGCCGCGCGATCTTCAGGCTCCTATTCTCCGAATCGTTGCTGCCGACGTCGGGGATCGGCACGGGGAACGGATTTGCCCCCCCGCCCGAATCGCGGCCGCCGGCGCCGGGGATCGGCCCGGAGAGCGGCCCGGGCCCCAGGCTGCCAGAGACCTCCAGTCGCCGCCAGGGCCCGCCCCAAACAAGCGACCGCCCGCCCCTGTCGAGGCGCCCGCCTCGGCGACCCCCCCGAGCCCCCCGCGCGACATCGGCGCCGCGCGCGCCTGCTTCGACGCGGGGCCCCCCGCAACCAGATTTCTCGCAGCGCGCCGCCTTGCGTTCGCTCGGCGCCCCACCGACGCGAGCGGCCCTCCCCGCGACCGATGGCCCATCCGCGCCGCGCCCCCCGTCGACGGGCGATGGGGGGGCCCATCCAACAACGTTCTGCGCCGCGCGCCGCTGGCCAAGTCCTGGACAAACCTAGCGCGGGCATCCGCGACGAGGGCCTGCCCCCGCTCGCGCAGGCCCGCCAGCTGCGCCATCAGGTCGAACTCGTTGTGGCCGATGTCCCCCGCGGCGTGGCCGAGCGCGGATGTCTCGCGCTGCAGCTCCCCGAGAAGCGTCGCCCTCCTCGCTGGCGCCCCGCGCGATTGCGGCCATGGGCGCCTCGGGGGCGCATGTCAGGATGGCCGGACTCGCCCGGCGCGCGAGGGCGGAGAGCTCGCGCAGCTCCAGACCAAGCGACGCCAGGCGTCTCGCGCCCGCGACGACTCTCAGCGAGCGTCCGCCGAATCGGCGTCGCCCGAGGTTGCCCGGGAAGTCCTCGCTGCACGAGCGCGCCTTGGCCGCGACGGCAGCGACCGCGCCTCCCCCGGCAACGGCGCCGCCCTCGAGCGCGGGGAAGGGCAAGTCCAGAGGCCAGCCAGCTCGGGGGCCCAACCTTCGCCCCAAGACGTCGAAGCGCCTGGCCGCCGCGCGCGCCGGGCAGATGGCCGCCCCCCCCCCCGGCCGCAAAGGCCGCCCCGCGACCTCGATGCTGAAGCCACCGCGGGGTCGGTCTTGGACGCGGGCAACGGCGCCGCGCAACCGTGGTGCCCCCCTGCCGCGCGATGTGCAGCGCGACGCCCGTGCCGTCGATGGGGCGAGAGCTGCTTCTCCTAGCTGTCTGATGTTATTGTCACCGGGCCTCCAGCCCCCTCCCCTCTGCTCCAGTCATCTCCTGCTGCCCTGCCCTGCCCCCGCTCGCTCGCCCCCAAGCCTTCCCGCGCGACCCCGGCGACTCTGGAGGCAGAGCGGCCGGCTTTCCGACGCGCGCGATCGACCGACCCCTCTCCGCAATAGCGCCTACGACCACCCAGTCCTCAACCACCGCGGCGTCGACCGCGACGGCGCCAGTCACCACGCGGGCATCTTGCGCTACAGGCTCGTGCAACACCGCGCTGAACACCTCATCGGAGTCGAGATTCGCAACTCTCCAGCGGCCATGCAGAAACACGTGCTGTCTGCCGCGATGGAATCGGGGACTGCGCCGCCGTCCTGCAACGTGACATCGGCTTGTACCTCATCGCGGGGTTGGGCGTGGACACCGCCCACTCGGACCTCCACTATGTCGCCGCTCGCGTCGGAATCAAGCACCAGGTCACCATCCAGAGCCGCGGATGAGAGCCCCACGGTGTCAAACACAAATGAGTCGAGACTCGCGCGGCTGGCCATCCGTGCCGAATCGAGCGCTGCCACCGACACCTACCACAACTTCGAGCACTGCATCGCATTGCACGGCGGCGTCGTGCCTTTCGGTCTCACCGAGCAACACGGAACCAAGCAGCCCCCAGGCGTCGACTTCGACCGCATCGATCCCAGCCCGCCCCGCTGCCGCCTCGACGCCGGCGTGTCTTGGATGACTACGGGGACTCAGGGTCGAAACGGCTGGCGTCGGCTTTCATGTCGGGGGATGCCTGCCCATGCTGGGACATGCCGTCTGGCGCGCGGGTCGCTCGCGCCGCTTCTAGCAAGAGCTTTCTTTTGGGGCGCCCGATTACGAGAGTTTCGGGGAGTGAGACTGCTTGCCCCATCGTCGATGCTGGCACATTCGAGTTGCAGACCTGTCCCGCTACCCCCACTCCCCCTGGATCTTCCGACGGGTGGTGAAACCTTGGGGGCGAATAAGCGGTGGACCCCTCCACCTCGCCCCTCCCGCCAGCCCCCATCCTTCCACGCCTCTGGGTGGTTTTGGGCCCCTGTGGGGCCGTTCCGTTGCCTCCGTTGTCCGCGCTGCGCGCCCTGCACCCTGGCCGCGCTGCCCCCGTGCCGGCGCCGCCGGCGCGCCCCCCTTGGATCTGCGCGAGGATTGGAGAAGGGAATGCCCGAGGAAACGCCAGCCCCTTCCAACGCAGGGCGGCCACGGGACATTTTTCTCCAACGCCGGATGGCCTGACGCCGTCTGACTCCGGAGCTGGACTGCCCGCAGTCGATTTGGTCCGCATCTTTGGGCCGCACTTCGCGACGCAGTCCTGCCTCATCGTCGCCTCTCCCTCATCTTCCTCCCCCTCCTCCTCCTCCTCCTCCTCCTCCTCCTCCATCCTCCTCCTCCTCTTCCACACTTGCGCATGAATACTACTCTCCTCTCTCCCCTGATGACGTCCAGAAAATATGCGCCCCCTTCCGCGCACTGTTTTTTTATGCACGCAGGATGTTCGTTTCAATTGGTTGTCCACTTCTGGTTCCCGGAAGGTGGCGTTGGTGACCTCTCGAGATTCCCCCGATTCCCTCCCACCGTTCCCTCTGTTGCTCTCTCTGTTCTCCGTCTGTCCTCCAATCTCCATCTCGCCCTTCCTTCCCTTTCGACCCCCCTTCCCCGCCCTCTCCCTCGAAACCGCACTGTGCTTTCTGGTGGCAGTGTCGGGCGGGGGGAGGACGGGTAGGAGTGGGAGGAGGAACGCCCCCACACGGCAGCGGCCAGTCGACCAAACGGGGCGGCGGCCGGAAGCCGGGTCGGACGCGAGGGGTGCCGTACGGGGCAGAGCTGGTCAGCCCACGGACCTGGATGCCCTGCCGCCGTCCGGCGACGGATGCGCCCCGCTCGGGGATCTTCTGACCCGAGTCAATCCAGACCCGGGTCAGCAGGAAACCAAGAACTGCAATGCAGGAAACAAAAAAACGGCAACGCAGGCCTTCGCAAACCCGGTCCGCCACCAGGCGCAGCCGCCTCGCGGCCACGAGCGGCCCGCAGACCCGGGCCAGCCAGAGGGGGTATTCGCAGGATCCCGCAGGATCCGGCGCCCTGGCTGACCCCCGTTTGCACTGACCCCCGTCTCGAGGCTCCCGACCCGTGCCTCGGGGACGGCGCCCGGCGGCGGGGCCGAAACCAGCTGCGCGCCCCCCCCCCCCCCACGTCCGACCCGAGCGGGTTGGCTACACCAAGGAGTGACCCTGGGTAAGAGTGACCTTTGGTGCGCGACTTTTTGGGGGCCGCGGGGGGACCAAACCTGGGCGCGCAAGCAGCTCCCACTGCCTCGTTTTTAGCCATCTGGGGACCCACCTGTGCCCGCACCAAAGGTCACTCCGGCGAAAGGTCACTCTTACGTCTAGGCGGGGCGGGGCGCCCAGCAGCGGGCATTGGGCTGGGCGGACCGCCCCGGCGCACAGGGGCCTCGCCGCCGCCTGGAAGGCGCCGCCGACCTGCGGGCTGCACGGGGGGGGGTGCGTGGCGGCGCCGCGCGCGCCGAACGCTCTCGGAGACGGCGACGGCGACGGCGACGGCGACGGCGACGACGACGACGACGACGACGACGACGACGGTGATTACTGCGGCGGCGGCGGCGGTCATCATCCCGCTCCTCTTCTCGCTTCCCTCCTCTCCAGACCGTGCTACGTTCCTCGCGTTTCCTCCCTGCTCCGTCTGGCTCCTCCCCCCTCCTTCCCACGTTTACGAGTACAACGTATGAAGACCACTTTCCTCTCTTTCCTGACCCCGTCCAGAAGATCGCACCCGCCCCCTCCGCATTTGTTACACCGATATGGGCCGAATTGCTTCGTCTTGCGTTTTCGCAATATGGTTGTCCCCGGCGTTTCAATTATGGCCAAAGTGCAGCATCCCCGAAACCGGATTTTAGAAGCCATGGGGGCTTCCAAAGTCGATCGGCCCCCCGTCCAGTGCGGGCTGGCATGACAATTTGGAACACGGCAACATGATGCTTGCATATTTGCGCTTCGCACACAAGCTTGTGTGATGCGTGGCTCGCAAGAAGCCATCGCATGACGGTCTGGTACTCCTCCCCTCCTCCCTCCTCCCGTACTTGGTCGACCAGTAAGCTGTCGAGACGGCATTGTCAGAGGGTCTACCGCCATGCTGTGCACCCGGAAGCAACTGCAAGAGGAAGGATGAGGGGGCAAAGGAGACGAGAAACGTGGAAAGAAGGGCATGCCGTGATGGTCCTCCCGTGTCGCTCTGGTCGCCCTGGCTGGCGTGTTTTGGTCGGAGGCCGTGTAGAACACCACCGCATCGACAGCACCGCGCGGCATTTCGGAGCCCAGAGTTGCGAGGATGTCTCAAGCGAAACGCGCCGGGCCACCTCGCGAGCGGCATCTCGGAGCTGAAAGTTTCGAGGATGTCTCAGGCGTAACACGCCATACCACCTCGCATATCGGCGCCCAGAATTGGGAGGATGTCTCAGGTGAAACGGGCCAGACCAACTCGCGCGCAGTATCTCTGAATCCCGAAATGGAAAGATGTCTCAGATGAAATGGGCCGGAACACCTCTCGCATACCAGCTCGGAGCGCCGAGTTGCGAGGATGTCTCAGGCGAAACGGGCCGTGACACCTCTCGCGCGGCATCTCTGAGCCCCGTGTTGCGAGGATGTCTTAGGCGAAACAGGCCGGACCACGTCGCGCGTGGCACCTCAGAACACAAAGTTGCGAGGAGGTCTTATGCGACAAAGGCCGCACCACCTCTCTCGCGGCAGCTCGGAGCTCCGAGCTGCGAGGATGCCCATTGCGAAACGGGCCGTAATTACCACCCCGCGCGGGCCATCTCGGAGTCCCGACGTGAAAGGATGTCTCAGGCGAAACGGGTTGGATCGTCTCGCGCGCGGCATCTCGGAGATCAGAATTGCGACTCAGGCGAAACGGCCCGGACCACCTCGCGCGCGGCACCTCAGAACTCAGAGTTGCGAGGATGTCTCAAGCGAAACGGGCCGGACCACCTCTCGCGCGGGATCTCTGAGCCCTGAATTGCGAGGATGTATCAGGCGAAACGGGCCGGACCACCTCGCGCGGGGCGCCTCGGAGCCCCCAATTGTGAGGATGGATGTCTCAAGCAAAACAGACCAGACCACCTTTCGCGCGGCACCTCTGAGCCCTGAATTGCGAGGATGTCTCAGGCGAAACGGGCCGGACCACCTCGCGCGCGGCATCTCGGAGCCCCGACGTGAGAGAATGTCTCAGGCGAAACGGGCTGGACCTTCTCGCGCGCGGCATCTCGGAGCTCAGCTCAGAAATGCGAGGATGTCTCACGCGAAGCGGGCCGGACGAATCTTGCGCGGCATCTCGGAGCTTAGGGCTTCGAGGATATCTCAGGCGAAACGGCCCGGACTACCTCGCGCACGGCGTCCCAGAAGCTAGCGTTTCGAGGATGTCTCAGACCAAGCGGCCAATCCTGGCCAACTCAGAAACGAGAGTTGCGAGAATGTCTCAAGCGAAACGGCCCGGACCACAAGATCTGCTTGAGGATGTCTCGACTCCGCTTTCCCTCGGCCAGAACTAGCTTCCACCACAACAGCACCCCCCGTTCAGCAAGCTGGTTGGGGAAGAACGGTATCAAGGGGCCAAAGGGACACCAATAAATACACACAAGTAACGAGATTCCCCATAGTTTTTCATATTTTCTGGGTTGTTGTCTTCCCCCCCACTTCCTATAGCTTCCCATATTTTCCCGGGAATCGACGATTAATTGTGTTTGTGTGTTTTTCCCCTCCTGATGGTATTGCTGCTGCAGCGTGGGCTGCTCCCGACGCGCTCTCGCACCAGCGCGGGCTATTATTCCTGTCCTCGTTGTCGCCCCTCTCGTCTTCCCTCCTCCGCCTTCCCCTGGTCCTCCTGCTCCTCCCGCTCCAATTTCTGCTGCTGCTGTTCGTGCTCGTCGTCCTCCTTCCTCATCCTCCTTTTCCTACAATTCATCCCCCTGCTCCTCCTCCTCCTCCTCCTCCTCCTCCTCCTCCTGCTCCTCCTCCTCCTGCTACTCCTGCTCCTCCTCCTCCTCCTCCTAATCCTTCCTCCTCCTCCTCCTCCTCCTCCGCCTCCTCCTCCTCCTCCTATGCGCGCAGCTCCAATTTCCCGATGCCGACTAACACGATAGAGTCTGTCTTGGAGCGGCAGGTTCGGCTATGACAAGCGTCCGTGGATAGAGAAGAAATCAGCGCAGGGATGGAATGGATGGATCGGATTCCAGGCATGGCGCGAGCGCAACTAGCTTGCTCCCCGCTCTCTTTCTGCTACCTCCCTCCTGCTCCACTCCTCTCCCGCTCCTCTCCTCTACCTCCTGCTCCTGCTCCTCCTCCTTCTCCTCCTCCTCCTCCTCCTCTTCCTCCTCATCAGCATCAGCATCATCAGCATCAGCAGCAGCATCAACATCATCATCATCATCATCATCATCATCATCATCATCATCATCATCATCATCATCATCATCATCATCATCATCATCATCATCAGCATCAGCATCAGCATCAGCATCATCATCATCATCAACATCATCATCATCAGCATCAGCATCAGCATCATCATCATCAGCATCAGCAGCAGCATCAGCATCAACATCAGCATCATCATCATCATCATCATCAGCATCATCATCATCATCATCATCATCATCATCATCATCATCATAAGTCTATTCATAAGCATAATCCTCATCCTCCTCGTCATCATCAACATCACCATTATTGTATCCTCCTGTCCTCACGCCCTTCTCCTCCTCCCTCCCCTCCTCCTCTGCTTCCTCCGCGTCCTCCTCATCCTGATCTTCCTCGTCATCGTCATCATCATGATCAGCATGATCAGCATCATCATCATCATCATCATCATCATCATCATCATCATCATCATCATCATCATCATCATAATCATCACCATTCCTGTCCTCCTCCTCCTCATCTTCCTAATCCTGCTCCTCCTCCGAGTCATCAGCATCATGATCATCATCATTACCATCGCCATAACCATCACAATCACCATCACCTTCACCCTCACCCTCACCCTCAACCACACCATCACCATCACCATCACCACCAACACCATCATCGTCATCATCATCATCACCATCACCATCACCATCACCATCATCATCATCATCATCATCATCATCATCATCATCATCATCATCATCATCATAAGCATCAGCATCATCATCATGGTCATCCTCATCAGCAGCATCATCACCATCACCATCACCATCATCATTATCAGCATCATCAGTAGCAGCAACATCCGCATCAGCATCAGCATCAGCATCATCCTCGCCATCAGCATCACATTCATCATAATCATCGTCGTCATCATCATCAGCATCAGCATCATCCCTCTCCTCCTCCTCCTCCTTCTCCTCCTCCTCCATCGCATCAACCTCCTCTTCCTCCTCATCCTCCTTCCTGACCACCGTTCCTTCTCCATAATTACTCACATTCCTCCTTCTTCCCCCGTCGGAGCCGAGAGGCAAAGAACATTTACCTCATTCCCTCCCTCTCCTTCCCTTCCGACTGTGTGTGTGGGGGAACAAAAGGAGACTAGCACATCCGCAACATGGAGCTCTCCCGGGATGTGCTCTGACCAGCACTTCGAGGCGAATCCACCTTGGCGACGAGAGCCCCCACGGGAAGCCGAAAAGGGCGATAGGGAGGGAACTGTAGCGGAATCGGTGCAATGATTTGCCCTGGAGCCAACACTGGTGTACAGTGCGCAGTGTGCTGCCAGCACGGCCCTGTGGGTCCTATGAAGCAAATGGCCGTGGAGGGTGGGAAGCGTTGCTGCAAACCCGTCCATCCCGCATGTGCTAAACTGCGTGCGCAAGTATACAGCCAGAAACGAAATTCAGACCGATCTATTACATGATGCAAGGCGGCACGAAGACCTTGAACGCACCATGGTGCGTCTTCATGGCGCCGGGAGGCCGCGAACATCCGCCAAATGCTGGAGCCAGCCACGGCGTTTGCGGGCACCCGTCCTTTCTGATTTCCCCGACCCTGCTATGATTGTTTGGTTTGTTGTTTTTGGATTCGTCAGTTTGTTGTGTTTCTCTTTCTCTCTCTCTCTCCATCTTTCGCTCCCCCTTTCTCTCTGTATGCGGACATGTGTGGATTGAAAATGTTGCGTGTGTGTCTACGTGGTGCGACATATGTTGAGACATCGACGCGGTGCAACTTATGTCACAGCTGTCATATCCTAGCTAGTTCCCTCACTGCACTGAAAGGGCCAAGCGGGGAAACATGATCGACTCACGAACCCGGAAAGGAATACAGAAAGGTAAGACATGGCATCGTTTCAAAGACACCTGCTCGGGCGATGGGCACATGCAATGATGAGTGTATCGATCTTGATGTACCGTGCCGAGGGCTGTGCTGTGCTGCGCCGTGCTGAACTGCGATGTGCCATGACGCGATTGTACTCTCCTGACCGAACTGATCTTTATTCCCTACCTAGGCTCTGCCTAGAAGGGTTCTTACTCGGTAAACTTAAAGGGCCGGGCAGTGTTCCACGCCCCGGGCGGTTCCCCCGGCATCCGCCCCGCGGTTCCCCCAGTGACGTTCCGTTAACTTAGAGTTGCTTATCTCATCTTAGCTTAGCCCAGCTTAGCTTAGCTTAGCTTAACCTAGCCTAGCTTAGCTTAGCTTAGCCTAACCTAGCTTAGCTTAGCTGAGCTTAGCTCAGCTTAGTGCAGCGTAGCGCAGCATTAGCATAGCATAGCATAGCATATCATAGCCTAGTATATCATAGCATAGCGCAGAACAACATAACATAACATATCATATCATAGCATACCGCAGCATAGCATAGCATAGCATAGCTTGGCTCATCAAAGCACAGCGCAGCCTATCATAGCATATCATAGCATGTCATACCATAGCATAGCGCAGCATATCATAGCATATCATATCATATCATAGCGCAGCATAACATAGCATACCATAGCAAACACGAACACACACGCAAAGCAACACCAACAGCAAAAACAAAATCAAACGCAAAGGTAATGCAACGCAAAAACAAAACCAATGCTCCAACTCCTAGGTCGGGTCGCACTGGGATAATCTTAAGCTCGAGCTGCCTGAGCACATAGTCCACATAGTAGCTGCCCCAGAGCTAATTGACAGGGGAACATGCCAGGAAGACGCGCCGCGGAACGTTCCAAGGGACGCGCCAGGCGACGTGCCAAGGGACGTGCCATGGGGACGCACCGCGGGACGTGCCAAGGGGACGCGCTACCGAGTGTGGCAATGGATGTGCCAATGGACGTGCCACGGGACGTGCCAGGGGACGCGCCGTGCGACAAGCCTGGGGGACTCGCCGCAGGACGCGCCACGGAACGTGCCAAGGACCGTGCCAAGTTGCAATGCTGAATGAATGTATCGATCTTGATGTACCGTGCCGAGGGCTGTGCTGTGCTGCGCCGTGCTGAACTGCGATGTGCGATGCCGTGATTGTACTCTATACTGTTGTGGATGGAGTCCTCCGTTGCATACGAGTCCTGACCGAACTGATCTTTATCTTAAGCTCGAGCTGCCTGAGCACATAGTAGCTGCCCCAGAGCTAATTGACAGGGGAGCATGCCAGGAAGACGCGCCGCGGAACGTTCCAAGGGACGCGCCAGGCGACGTGCCAGGGGACGTGCCATGGGGACGCACCGCGGGACGTGCCAAAGGGGCGCGCTACCGAACGTGCCAATAGACGTGCCACGGGACGTGCCACGGGACGCGCCGCGCGACGTGCCAAGGGTACTCGCCACAGGACGCGCCACGGAACGTGTCAAGTTGCAATGCTGAAAGAATGTATCGATCTTGATGTACCGTGCCGAGGGCTGTGCTGTGCTGCGCCGTGCTGAACTGCGACGTGCCATGCCGCGATTGTGCTCTATAATGGTGTGGATCGAGTCCGCCGTTGCATACGAGTCCTGACCGAACTGATCTTGATCTTATGCTCGAGCTGCCTGAGCACGGAGTCCACATACTAGCTGCCCCAGAGCTAATTGACAAGGGAACATGCCAGGAAGACGCGCCGCGGAACGTTCCAAGGGACGCGCCAGGCGACGTGCCAGGGGACGTGCCATGGGACGCACCGCGGGACGTGCCAAGGGGACGCGCTACGGAACGTGCCAATGGACGTGCCACGGGACGTGCCAGGGGACGCGCCGCGCGACGTGCCTGGGGGACTCGCCGCAGGACGCGCCACGGAACGTGCCAGGTTGCAATGCTGAGTGAATGTATCGATCTTGATGTACCGTGCCGAGGGCTGTGCTGTGCTGCGCCATGCTGAACTGCGATGTGCCATCCCGCGATTGACCTCTATAGCGTTGTGGATGGAGTCCTCCGTTGCATACGAGTCCTGGCCGAATTGATCTTGATCTTAAGCTCGAGCTAGAACCAGCGCAGGACCACCATGTTAGATACCCCTCCTGGGTGGCCTGAACATGTTACAACACGTGATTCCAGCCCCGGACCATCATGTTACATACACCCCTGGGTGGGCTGGACACGTGAAAGCACGTGATTCCAGCTCGGGACCATCATGTCAGATACCCCCCTGATGGCCTGCACACGTAAAACTCACGGTTCCAGCCCACCCAGGGGGGATGTCCAACATGCGGCCGTCTGAGGCGTCAGCGACGGACAACCATGTTGGATACCCCACTGACCGACCTGGGCACGTGAAAACAAGCATTTCGCCTGAGACATCTTCTGAATTCTGGCCCCCACGAGGCCCCCGCTCGAGACATCCTCCAACTCTGCAAAACCAGCGTTTCGCTCGAGACGTCCTCAACAAATTCTGAAAAACAAGCGTTTCGCTGCTAAGGACATCCTCAAAATCTTAATTCGCCGGCCCACCTCGACCTCGATATTTATCGCAGAACAAATTCGCCGGCCCACCTCAAGTCAAACCCGGAGGTAAACCAACTAAAAGAGAACCCTGGGCTTCTGCCCTTTCCAGGAAAAAGGTACACTGCAGTACCTCCACTGCTGGAGCACACGCGGACCGACGCGCGGCCTTTGTCGTCGCGCGAGGGCGCCTCTCGGCACGATTCCGCGGGGCCCCGCGGGGCACGCGCGCACCGGGGCCCCTGGACGCCCCCATAGCGAGTCCAACGGCGCAGCCAAAACAAGGAGCGAGACGCGGGCATCATGATCTGCAGCTCAGGCCACTCGCGCCCCGACAAGAAAATCAGCCGCGACGTCATTCGTCGGCGGACAAAGGGCCACATGACCGAACGAGTGCGCGCGGCCGTGCCTCAGGCGGTGCCCGCCCCGACCCGCTGGGCGCCAATGCCAACGCCGCCCTGATCGCGAACGAACGCGGCGCGCGTCTCGGCGTCTCCCGCGCGCGGCGCGCGCGGCTGAGAAGACTCGCCGAGGCGCGAGAGCGCGAGCCCGACGCTGAATGTCGGCGCTGTGAGATAGGTCGTGAAGCGCGAACGAATCCTTTTCCTCATTTACCATTACTCGCCACGGCCCAGAACGCGGACCGCGAGGTGCAGCCAGATTCTGGAGCCCCCGCGAGGTCTGCTCTCGCCATCCCGCCTCGCAGTCTTCCCGCTGGGCAACCAGAACCGTTCTGGAGAATCGTCGGACGGCGGCCGCCGCGGCGCCAATGCCCAGCAGCCGCGAGGCGACGAGCTCCTGGACCACGAATTGGCTGATCTCGAGGGGCAGCTGTGCGAGCGCGCAGAGTGGGCATGGGGCGAAGATGGCGCGTATCAGATTTTCGCGCCATCCAGCCTAGCGGCTGCTGACCGCGCACATCCAAGAGGAGGGCCAACGACCGGGCTCTGGGCTGAGCTCGCGGGGGCGCCTGCAAGGAGCGGCGCGGTCGATGGCCTGCCACGCGCCAGCGCGATGGTTCATTTGCCGAATATACCATGGAGATGCCGATCAGCTGGCTAGAGGAATATTGCAGCAGGGGCCAATACTTCTACGGCATCTGGATGAACGCTGGCTCTTTAAATTCCCCCCAATATACGCCAGCTCACATTGACGCTGATAAAGGGGGCGCAGGACTTCTGGACTACATGCTCGGCTAAGATATTGCCTCAAACGCGCTCGCGAAAAGCATGTGGATCAAGGACTTCCGACCCGCAAACCCATGGGCGGGAGAAAGCATCCACCATGCGCCAGTGTCACCCATCAGCAATCGCGCACGCACTATGGGCGCATTCGCGGTGAACGAACCCTAAACTGATCGTCGACTGCTTCCACAGAACACGCGCCCTACTCGCGCGCCAATCGCGCATCAATCGCGCGCGAGTCGCGCACGAACGGACGGCGCACTAATGGCGCACCAGTCGCTACCTATAATCGCGCAGACCGCACGCCAATCGCGCAGCAACCGCGCACGAATCGCAGGCCGGGCGGGAACGGGGGCACGCGCTGAGAGCGCGCCAAATGACGCACAATGTTTTCCTGGTATCGCATCAACTCTACACACCTTTTGTCACGGGGCTCACGTATATCGGGAGCGGCCAAGAGGGGGGTGCCCTAGAGGGGGGGTGCAAATCATGACCGGCCCCATGCGCGCGGCCCAGCGGGGGGGCCAGGGACGTCATGAAATAAGACGAGGCGCTATGAGATCTGGGAAAATATCATGGCCCACGCCATGAGATCCCTGCCCCCTAGTCATCACCCCCCTCTTTTCCGCCCCCGCTTGACTGTACTAGTCATCACCCCCCTCTTATCCGCCCCCTCACATAGCCAAATTGCAGCCTGTACTGGTAAGGCCGCTTGACGAGGAGGCGCGTGGTATGGCTTGGTTTTGCCTGGAAGTGAAAGCGGGGTAGGTAATTCACGCTGTGATTTTCTGGTATCGCATTAACTTCACACACCTTTTGTCACGGGGCTCACGTATACACCCCGACTGTTTTGACATGCGTGCCAGGCGGGGCGCTCCGCCGAATTCAGTGCCGGGCCTCCCCTCCCCTGCAGCATCAACTCCTTGCGCCGGCTAGCGGGCCGCCCCCGGGTGGCCCCCGCGGGACGGACCGGCTCGCAGGGGGCCACATGCGAACCCTACCCCTGCCCCCCACGATGTCTGAGGGGGAGGGTGGGGCTCACTTCGCTCGGGAGCCTCCGAACGAAGTGAACCCCACCCTCCCCCTCAGACATCGTGGGGGGCAGGGGTAGGATTCGCATGTGGCCCCCGAGCTCGGGCCCTCTTCGGAACCCCCGCGTCAGCCAGGGCCGGACCAGCCAAAGCCCCCATGCGGGGCAAGCAACGAGGCCCCGCTCTTCCCGGGGACACGCAGGGCCCGGCGGAGCTCATCAGGGGAGGTCCGCAGGAACATCGGGGTGCCTCTGGGAAGCACTTGGGGGGCCGCTGCGGCGCCTCAAGGGAGCATCGGGGGACTCAAGCAGGCCGCTGGGAGGCAGGCGTCACTCTACTCGGCGCTGAACCCTTTTCATTGTACCCCGCGCTGTTACACGTTGCCCGGCGCTGCTCTTCCATCGACCCTGCCCTACTCTGCTCGGACACTGCATCTTCCGTTGTAGCAGACTCGCCCTACGCCGCTCAACTCTACACTTTCCCTGTCCCGCTCTACTCGACTCAAGTCTATCTTCTCTGTTCCACTCTACTGTGCTCCTCTTCTCTGCCCTGCCCTACTCCTACTTACTCCTGAGTTGGACCTTTGATCTGCGATAGTCGGGGCGCCATAGGGGCAGCCAGAGGAAACCATTGCAATGGCAGAGGAGGCCGCTGCAATAACAGAGGAGGCCATTGAAATAGAAGGGAGAACCATTGCAATGGTCCTGGGCAGCACAAAGGAATGGGGGCCTCAGCGGGCTATGAGAAAAGGCAAAACTGATTATTATATTCGTCGTTGTACAAATCTGGAAAAGTAGGCTTGGCTGTCGCGGTAGTAGCGGTACTAGTCGTAGTTGTAGTGGTAATCGTTCCAGTGAGGGTAGCCATCGCAATAATCTGCCGGCCCCCTTGTGCGGCCACCAGGCTGCGAGAATAAGACTTGCTGCTCCCTGCGCCAGTTCCAGTTTCCAGGTTCCAACGTTACAGTCCTGCTTTCTGCTTCAAACAGAAACCCACGAGGGGGGGGACCCCACGTTACTGTTCCCGAATCGCGTCGTCTGAATTCCTGCGGGGCCGTGGGACACGTAATACGTATATATACATATATATATAGAGAGAGAGAGAGAGAGACAGATCAAAGAGAGAGAGAGAGAGATTGAGAGAGAGAGAGAGTCGCGCTCCCAACGCAATGATCCCTTGTGAATTACACTGTATGCCCCAAGACGGCCTAAGGAGCCTCTAAGACGCCCAACATGGCCTCCACGACGGCCCTTGAGCACCCCAACGAAAATGGTCCCTTCTTCAGGGCCCCGACTGTATGCAGGTGGTGCACAGACCCTGCTCACTTACTTCTGGCCAGGGAGGGAACGGCCACACGCAGGAGTGACCCTAGGCAGGTGGCTTTGGGCGCGCGGCGTCAACGGGCTGCAGGGGGAACCAATCCCGAGCGAGCAAGCAGCGGTCATCGCACAGCGATCCGGGAGCCCCAACGCATCCGCACTGGAGGTCCCTCTGGCGAAGGGCCGCTCCCGCTTGCAGTCGTCGGGAGCGGCAAAGAGGGGGGTGTCCAAGAGGGGGGGTGCAAATCATGACCGGCGGCATGTGCGCGGCCCAGCGGGGGGGCCAGGGACGTAATGAAATAAGAAGAGGCGCCATGACATCTGGGGAAATATCATGGCCCCCGCCATGATATCCTCACCCCTCTAGTCATCACCCCCCCAGGATCATGTCACTGTCGACGAGGAGGAGGAGAGAGGAGGGAGGAGGAGGAGGAGGAGGAGGAGGAGGAGGAGGAGGAGGAGGAGGAGGAGGAGGAGGAGGGTGCACGCGCGCACCGTCGGCCGGGGGGCACGGGGGGGGCCCTGGCCGGGCGCGGCGGTGGTGCACCAGCGCCCTCCGCGGGGGAGTCCGCAGCAGACACGCGGCGCCCGGCCCCGTCCAGGAGCACGGCCCGCCAGCCCGAAAGGCCAGCCTCGTGCTGTGAAGGATTGTAGACCTCTCTCTCTCTCTCTTTCTCCCGCGGGCGAGGGAGGGCAGACCGCCCGGGCGCGCGCGCGCGCGCGGCGGAGGGAGCGAGAGGCAGGGTGAGGCGGGGGGGGTGCGGGCCCCGAGAGTAGACACGACGCTCCCACCCCCTCCCTCTCCCGGGAAAGAGGAGGGGAAGAAGAGGCTGGAGGAGGGGAGAGGGGATGCAGGTGGTGTTATGCAGCATCTTTGGGGGACCTTGTCTGTCCCGGCGCGGCCCTATCCGCGTCAAATCCATGCCGAATCCATGTCGGCCTCGTCGGATCCGTGTAGAATCCGTGTCGAACATGCGTCGAACCCACGCCAAATCCGCGTCGAGCCCGCATCGAGCCCGCGTCGGGCACAGGAAAAGACACAATTTTGGGGGACGGGCGAGGTCCCCCGAAGATGCAACGCAAGCGGTGGGGACCATCTTTTTGTCCGCGCGCTCGGTTGGCGAAAGCCGCTCTCGAGATCACCAAATCGATTTGGCAGCCGAGCTGCAAAGCCCTCGATCGCACCAAATCGATTCAGCAGCCTCGACACCCGCAGGGGGCACCCGCAGGGGGCACCCGCAGGGGGCACCCGCAGGGGGCACCCGCAGACGGGCACTCGGGCCGGGCGATAAGGGGGTGATAGCAGAGGGGGTGCTGAGAATCGGCTCTCGTGGCGGATCCTCCCGGCGCCTCCCGGCGCCGGCAGGCGCCCACGTCTCGAGGAGCGGGCCCCTCGGTGGGGCCGACACCAGCTGCATGCAGCAGACTTCATTAACCCCCCCCCCATTCCCTATCCCCCCCTCTTGTGCTTGAGGCACGTCGCCGCTCAGATCTCCCCGGGCGCCAGGCCCAGCAGCGCCCGCTTCGCGTCGCAGGCCTCTGCGAGGCGCGCGCCGCCCGCTCCAACTGAGGGCAACGACAGGGGGGGACTGGCATAAGGGGGGATGCATCGACCTGGAATGGGCGATACGTCGCCGATAGATCGGCGATAGGCCTCCGATGGTGAATCCGCACCCTCCTGGGCCGCTGGGGGCTATCGGGCCCATATCGGCGATCAATGGGCGATTGGGGGTCGATGCATCCCCCCATAGGAGGAGGAGGAGGAGGAGGAGGAGGAGGAGGAGGAGGAGGAGAGGAGAGGAGGAGGAGGAGGAGGAGGAGGAGGCCCCCTGCGCCCCCCCCCCCCCCTGGCCGAGCCGGCCGCCGAGCGGAGCCGGGCGACCGCGGGGCCGCCGGTCTCGTGGCGAGGGCGCCGCCGTGGCCGCCGCGGGCCTTCGCGGCCTCGGCCAGGTGGCGGACGCCGCCGCCGCCGCCGCCGCCGACGCCGACGACGACGACGACGACGACGACGACGACGACGCCGCCGACGACGACGACGCCGACGCCGACGACGACGGCGACGGCGACGACGGCGACGGCGGCGGCTCTCGCCCGCCGCGGCGGGCCGCTCTCGGGTGGCGCAGGGAGGCGCGCCGGCGGCGCTGGCCTCGCCCGCCGCCGTGGTGCCCGGCGACGGGGCCGCCGCCGGGGGCCGATGCGAGCTGGGGTTCGGTCGGGGGTTCGAAGAAAATCAAGCAGTCGATCCCCGACTCGAAACACCGCCTCTGGCAACACCTCCTCCTCGTCCTCCCTGTCCTCCGCCTCCTCCTCCTCCGCCTCCTCCTCCTCCTCCTCCTCCTCCACCTCGGGGTGCGAGCTAGGGGGTGCGAGCTGGGGTCGGGGGTTCGCCGGTCCTCCCGCAGGCGGAGGTTCGAAGAAAATCAAGCACTGATTCAAAACGTACTCAAGCATAGTCCAACAAGCATCGCTACATCGTCGCCACACAATGTTCTGACTACTACTCTTGAATACTTTCCGCCCGTAGAGGGGCAGGCCCGACCTGAGGCTGGGGAGCTGCCACCTGCACAGGTGTCGTCACTTTCCGCGGATCCTTCACTGTGTTATGTGGTGTGGAGCGGTCCTGTTTCACCATAGCCGCCTCGCGCACAGAAAGGGAGTGGTACGTCCCTGGGCAACCTTTTCTCTGAAGCTAGTCTTACCGTCGTTGCCGCGTGGCGCTGCGCCTCGGGCAGACTCTCGCTAAGCCTAAGCCTATGAACCAATGGTACTGTCACGATCGCGGGCCGACCATCGGCTACTTAAACAAACACTTGAACATAATCTTCCTTCCGCAGGCAGACAGCTGCTGGATACGGATGGACGGATGTCGTCCACGCCCAAGCCCCTGGAGTCGGTCGGGCTGGCGGACACATGGTTCTGCAGATGGATGCTGAGTCCTACGATTCGGATGGTTTCAGCCATCTGGCCGTGTTCTTTAACACCTCCAGCCAATAAAACATGATTTGCTACCGTTCAGCACGTTTCAGAGGTGGTACAAGCAGTACGGGCGCATTCGCAAGGACTCCGCCTGTGGTGAACGAAAAACATGATCGACCCACGAACCCGGAAAGGAATATAGAACTGTAACACATGGCAGCGTTTTCAAAGACACCTGATTGGGTGACGGGCAAATGCAATGCTGAGTGTATCGATCTTGATGTACCCTGCCAAGGGCTGTGCTGTGCTGCGCCGTGCTGAATTGCGATGTGCCATGGCGCGACTGCGCTCTATAGCGTCGTGGATCGAGTCCTCCTTTGCATCCGAGTCCTGACCGAACTGATCTGGATCTTAAGCTCGAGCTGCCTGAACACATAGTAGCTGCCCCAGAGCTAATGGACAAGGGAACATGCCAGGAGGACGCGCCGCGAAACGTCCCAAGGGATGCGCCAGGCGACGTGCCAGGGGACGCGCCATGGGGTCGCACCGTAGGACGTGCCAAAGGGACGCGCTACGGAACGTGCCAATGGATGTGCCACGGAATGTGCCAGGGGACGCGCCACGCGACGTGCCAGGGGGACTCGCCAAGGGACGCCCCACGGAACGTGCCAAGGAACGTGCCAAGTTGCAATGCTGAGTGTATCGATCTTGATGTACCCTGCCGAGGGCTGTGCTGTGCTGCACCGTGCTGAATTGCGATGTGCCATGCCGCGGTTGTGCTCTATAGCGTCGTGGATCGAGTCCTCCTTTGCATCCGAGTCCTGACCGAACTGATCTGGATCTTAAGCTCGAGCTGCCTGAACACATAGTAGCTGCCCCAGAGCTAATTGACAAGGGGAACATGCCAGGAGGACGCGCCGCGAAACGTCCCAAGGGATGCGCCAGGCGACGTGCCAGGGGACGTGCCATGGGGTCGCAACGCGGGACGTGCCAAGGGGACGCGCTACTGAACGTGCTGGGGACAAGCGTTTCGCTCGAGACATCCTATCACAATCATCCGAATTCCTACGCGCGGGACGCGGCACGCGCGAGACATCCTCGGAATTCCTGCGAGCGGGACACGAAAACAAACATTGCGCCTGAGATATCCTCTGAATTCTGGCCCCCCACGAGGCCCCCGCTCGAGACATCCCCCAATTTTGCAAAACCAGCGTTTCGCTCGAGACATCCTCAACAAATTATGAAAAACAAGCGTTTCGCTTGAGAAATCCTGTCAAAACCCAAAGAAATCAAAATTCCTGCGTGCGGGACGCGGCACGCGCGAGACATCCTCGGAATTCCTGCGCGAGGAGCGCTTTTCCGTGTCGCGGTCGGCTCTGCAAAACCAGCGTTTCGCTCGAGACATCCTCAACAAATTCTGAAACCAAGCGTTTCGCTCGAGACATCCCCAACTCTGCAAAACCAGCGTTTCGCTCGAGACATCCTCAACAAATTCTGAAAAACAAGCGTTTCGCTCGAGACATCCTCAAAAATAACTTCGCCAGCCCTACTCCGTGCGTGCCCGCTCGCAAAATAATTTCGCCGGCCCAAGTCGCAGGGGGGCCGGGGGGTTAACCAACTAAAAGAGAACCCTGGGCCCGCGCCCTTTCCGGGAACAGGAGGTGCGTTGGTGCCAACTTAGCAGCTGACTGATCGACATTGCAAGAAGGGAGGGAGGATAATGGAGTGCCGGAAAAGGGGTGGGAGGATATGCAGTGGCGCTGTTGGGGGGAGGCATTTCGGCTGACATGGGCGGCCTGGAAGCATCTTGTGCCCATCTTGGACCACGTCGGGGCCAACCCTGGGCCCAGGATTGCACTGGGAAGCGAAATGAAGAGAAATGCGAAGGGTCTCGGGACGCAGCTGTTTTCGTTGCCCCCCGAAGGGGGACAAGCCTTTCCTCCCCTGGGGCGGACAAGGCTGGCACGCGCTCCCAGCCCCTCCTCACGCCGAAAGAGCCGCCGGGTCTCGCAGGGCATATCGAAGCACTGTATTCGGGGGCGGCCAAGAGGGGGGCGTCCAAGAGGAGGGGGGGTGCAAATCATGACCGTCGCCATGTGCGCGGCCCAGGTGGGTGCTGAGGCCGTAATGCAATAAGAAGAGGCGCCATGAAATCTGAGAAAAATGTCATGGCCCACGCCATGATATCCCCCCCCCCGGGTCATCACCCCCCTCTTTACCGCCCCCGATGTATACTTGGGAAACAGAACCGCCTTCTGAACTTTCCGCGTAGTAAGCAGTCTGGGATGCCGAGAGGCGGCGTCTCACCGTCGCTGCTGCGCCGCGGCGGCGCCTGCCGTTCGGAAAGCTCGGAGGGTCTGAGGCCAGAGATATTCACGCCGTTTCTCCGCAGACTTGCCGGGAGTTGGGGGCCAGGATTGCAAGGCGAATCTGGCCGTGGCGACGACGTGAAGGTAGCGGTAGCGGTAGCGGTAACGGTGTGTTGGTGTGTGTGTGTGTGAATGTGTGTGTGTGCACTGTGCGTGCGCGCGTACTGTGCGTGCGCGCGTACTGTGCGTGCGCGCGTGCGTGCGTGCGTGCGTGCGTGCGTGCGTGCGTGCGTGCGAGTGTGTGCGCGCGTGTGTGTGTGGTGCGTGCGCGTGTTTGTGTGGTTTGTGTGGTTTGTGTGTGTGTGTGCGTGTGAGGCAAGCGAGATGCGCTCAGCGAGACCCCCAACTTCTCACCAACCAGGGCACGGGCGGCCCCCATCGGCTCTCACACCCCGGCACCTTCCCACGAGGAGCAGGCGCGGCCGGCAGCGGAGCAGGAACGACGCAGCGACGATGAGAAGTGTCAGCGGCTTGCCGACCAGCGGGCCCTCTGCTTCCAGTCCCTATACGGCTCCCCGCTTCCCCCTGGTCGCAAATGGGAAAGGATAAGTGGAGACCTGCGGGAGCCAGGCGCACTGGTGCTGAACGATCCCGCTCTAGCCGCCGTGCTGTACTACGTACTCAGCCAACACCCCCACATGTATGGCCCTGGAGACTCGCCCACAGACCTTTACGAACAGTGTCGGAAGTTGGTCAGCCACGATGGAGTCGCACGACAACGAGCTAGGCAATCTTGTCTACACAGCGTCCTGGGCAGGTCTAGCGCACGTGGCGGGGCTTCAACCCAGCTCTGAGCCGGGCAGCGCTATAGAAGAGGACCCCCTCCCCCCCCGCCTTCAGGAGGTCGCAGCGAATCCCGCTGGAATTGGCGCGTCGACCAACCCCCAAAGGGCACGGCCAGACATCCCCCGGTCGCCTGGAACGCGACAACATGCGAGCGCACGCGCCACAAGGGTCCGCCCTCGCACCGGCACCTTGCTGCCCTTTTCGGACAGCAGGACCAGCCAGACGAAGGCCTGTCCAGCTTGCTCAAGGACAGCGACGGAAACCCTTTCCAGCGCCCGCGGGTCAACACGTCCTTGGTTCTGATGCTCCTGCTCTTCAGGGAGCCCCAGCCCACTCTTGCCCCCTACGGGACCCCTGGCCACATCGGTGACGTCCTCGAGGCCACCCTAGGCACCTGCTTATCATACAATAACGCGCGCCTTCCCGTGCGTGATAGCTTTGGGCTGGCCCGCAACTTCGCGGATGC